CCCCTCCTTTCCCCTTTGATTTTCCCTTTTTTCTTTTTTTTTTTTTTTTTTTTCTTCTCACAGGTGCTCACCCTGCTCTGCAGGGGTTACAGATGCCTGCCTCTGCAACAGCACTTCTGGTTTTGTTGCTTGTTGCCAGTGATAGAATCTCCTCCTCCTTATCAATATCTGATAGGACAGGTATAGAGGATGTTCCTCTCAGAGGTATAATTTTTATACTTATTTTCCTGATTCAACTTTTAAACATCATTCTCCCAATATCACAGGCTGAACAACATCTCTTCAGCTTAGCTTTCTGGTTTTCTCTGTCCTTTTCCAAAGCCAAAATTAGGTTTTTCACTTTAAGAAATCACCCGGAGTGGCAGACAGGATAACATAGCTCTGCCAGATCCCTATCTGTATATAGTACTTCATCCCATTTTCCTGGCCACCTCAAAACCAACATTAATTGTAGCAATGTATTATAATTCAAAGTTCCATTTTTAGGCCATTTCTCCTGATCACAGAATCGTAGAATTAACCGGGTTGGAAAAGACCTTTGAGATCATTAAGTCCAACCATTACCCCAGGACTGCCAAAACCACCACTAAGCCATGCCATTAAAGGCCTCATCTCAATGTTTGTTTTTTTTTTTTTGAACGCTTCCAGGGACACATATTCCACCACTTCCCTGGGCCACCTGTTCCAATGCTTGATCACATTTTGGTGAAGAAATTTTTCATAATACCCAGACTAAGCCTCCCCATGCCCAGCTTGAGACATGAGATAAATTTAAAATAAATAAATTATACATGTACACACTGCCATAGAGGATTCTCTGGCTTAGGCATCAAACATCCTTAAAGAACTGCTATCAAACCCTAACACACGACAGACAGAAGGAGGAATCAAAGTCAGGGAAAATTCTATATCAAATAGGAAAAATGCTTAGCAGTCTCCAGAGCAATCCAAGTCTGGAAAGGCAAATCAAACACATATAGATGATGACCATGGGAAAGAGTCATTTAATTGACACACTGTTCTCTTCCCATATCATTCCTGAATGTCTTATGGGTTTTTTACGGATAAGCATATAATAAATAGGGGGCTAATACTTGTCCTCTGGTACTCAACTTCAGAGACTTCACACCAAAATCCCAATTAATACTTTCCCAATCTCATAAACAATCACAAGTTTGGCAATGAATTTTTCAAAAGTAAGCTTTTTACACTCACAATATTTTTACAGATAGGAACATCACAGTCTTCATAAAATTATATACCTGCACACAAGACCTGATATTCCATACGTATGCATCAAGTACTCAGTTTTATCCAGAGAAGTTTCCTATCAAATTTTACAAGTTAAAAATAACAGGGGTGTACATCATGCAAAATTACAGGAATGGAGAATTTTACAATATTTTATCAACGTTTTCTTGTTTACCGAACCCCCAGAAGACCCTCCCAGTTCTTTCCAATGTGCCAAAATGTAACCCAATGGGCTTTTCTTCAGAATTCCCTTATTTCGACCGGCTCCCATTTCAAACAATCTTTTACAAATCTATAGCTTCTCTTTCCTAGTGCTCTGCAAATGCACTTAAAAATGAGAGCACCTACACACAAGTTTTATGATATTCTCAGGGGTTCAGTAAAATAATATCTCTGGGTTCTGCAGATCAGTTCCCCTGTTGTTAGATCATAGTTTCGGTTCCAGCAAAATTTACACTAGTATCCACGGTAGGTTCCACTGTTCAGAAGTTACTATGCACCCATATGTGAGGCTACAAGCCTCTGGTACTGAGTGTAAAGTCCAGATCTCAAGAATAGGACTACAGATATTAGAGGTTATACTTCTCTCATACAGCCACTGGGGCGCAGAGAGGGAACTCTTCTTAAACCCCCATTAGCCACAGTTTACTTTTGTCTACTCCTCCCCCACCGCTTAAACACTAATCTTTAACACTAACGACAGACATACACACACACAAAGCACTTAGGCACAACACAAAACAAAGACGCTTCGTCCGTCTCCGGCCGCTCTCCTCGCGGAGAACACGGAACCGCGGATCAGGACTCCACACTCGCTTCGTAGCTGTGCTACGTCTCAGTCACACGGAAACAGAAACACAAACACACATGGGATCCCACACACTCACACTGTGGTTCCGCCTTACCCTTCTCCTGCTTCCTATGGTAGCAGGTCTGTCCTGGATCCCAGAATTTGAGATGCAGCGGAGACCTGGTGGGTTCGCCTACCCCTTCACCTGCTTCCACTACGGTCATTAGCAGATCCTTCCTGGCTCCCAAAACTTGGGATGCAGCGAAAACCCGAACTCACCCGATCCACCCTCAGGATCGCTAGCGGCCGCTCTACCGGTCGGCGAGTCCCCTGCTTGCAAGCCCTACCTGCCAAGGGAACTACGCTGTGCGCCAGACGTCTCTGCGCGCCTTACCAGCAGCCCCGGGCCACGCGTACGCCTTACAGGCCCCCTAAGTTTCAAGCATACCGTTTCTCCGCAGCCGGCACAGGTTGTTGTCTGTCCTCGCAGTGAGCGGACGAGGAGCGGAGCTCCTCCAGGCAAGCGGCCTGGGGCGCCTAGGATGTCCGCCCCTCAGCCGATCCTGCAGCCGAACAGAGACCTCCTGCCTGGCTCGCCAAATTGATGCGCGGATTGACTCCACAACTCGTTAAAAGTTGTAAAGTAGGTATGCTTTTTATTCAGCGCTGAGACGCACGGGGATAATTCCTCAAAGTCATGAGTGCCTCAGTGTTGTTTCCCTCTACATTTATTCTCTAAAGTTATATATATTCATAAGGTTGCACAATACGCCTATACATATTCATATCCTATCCCCGCTTCGTATTATAATGAGCCAGAAGGTCCTCTGCGCCTGCGCAGTGCCCCCTCTGGTCATGGGCAGGGGTCTCAAGATGAAGTAAATGAGTCTTCCTCCTCTGGGTAGGGGTCTTCAAGATGAAGTAAATGAGTCTTCCTCTTCTTGTACTTTTCACCTTTTTAGTCTTTATGTGTGGCCTTAGAGATTGGTCAGTGTCCCAGCCGTAAATCCTCTACTTCTCCCCTTTATCAGTAGAGTTTGATCAGTGTCCCAGCCGTAAATCCTCTGCTTCTCCCCTTTATCAGTAGATTCAGGCGTCTGCTTATTAATAGGACCGGAGGTCTCTGTTCTGCTTAGCAGGCATTTAGTCCTTTTGTTTAAACAAATTCCTCTAACCCCCTTGTACAACCCCCCTGTACAATCCCCTTGTACAACCCCCTTGTACTACCCCCCTGTACAATGGTCAACCCTCTGTATCAATGTCAGTCTTAAAATGGAGCTTACAATAGGTAATTTTAGAGTAAGTATGTGCTATTTTTAACTTGCATTACGTATTCTGCCTGATGTCAGTGTGTAAGGCTAATGGTAAGGTGAGCAAAGTATTGTTTTCAGCTTAAGTTGTACAAACTCACACTAGTCTCACATAAACAGGGTCTGAGTGAGCCTTTTTCCTTACAGAGACCTGTAGTCACTGGTTTTGGTTACAATGAATAAAGGATAGCTTTTCTTGTGATGTGGAGATGCAGGTTTTCTCCTGTGATTTGTGAAAGGCTAAAATGGATGCTAAATTCTAGTTACAGCTCTCTATACCAGGATTTTGCATTGATTCAAAATGTGGCAATTGAATTTCAAGTGATGCATTAGTTAGCATGAGTGCTTTTGTTAGTCTTAACTACCTCTTTAAAGCACACTTTCCTCTTTATGGTACTTAAACCCTTGTGTTCAGTACTGGTAATATAACTGTTCATCGACTTCTGCTTCTCTTTACCTAGAAAACAAGAGAGTAATTGCCTTGCTTATGAGGCAGGCATTGAATGTTATACTGCAAGTAATAGATGTGGTTTTGTTGCTACATAATTGTGAATGCTCTTGTGGACAGCAGCTTGTGGGCAGTGTTTAGTTCTGCTTTTCCTAATGACTTCTGTTTGTTTCTGTAGCTTTAATGGTGAAAATAAGTTTTCTTATGGTAAATGCAGTTTAGAAGGTAGGTGAAGGCCATGAAGTCTGTTTTGATGATGCAGCCTTCTGCTTGGGCATTTTTAGTGTGCAATTTTTCATTGAAATAAGTCATGATAGCAGGCTTTTAAATTGCAAAGACCATTATTTTTTTGTTGAATTGGAATTCATTCCTTGTATTCTTCATGGAAATACTTTGAAATGACCAAACCAAGGAATTTGTTCACCACTTCCCATTGGCAAGCCAATGGTATTCAGCTATCTCCAGGAAAGCAGGGGTTCATCATGCTAATGGTTACTTGGGAAAACAAATGCTATTACTCAGAATGTCTCCTTCTTCCCCCAGCTTTTATAATGCTGAGCAAGATGTCATGTGGTCTCAAATATCCCTTGGGTCAATTGGGGTCATCTGTGTACCCTCCTGTATCCTTGTGTGCCCCCAGCCTGTTTGCTGGTGGGGTGAGGAGCAGAAGCTTGGACTCTGTGTAAGCACTGCTCAGCAGTAACGAAAACATCCCTCTATTATCAACACTGTTTTCAGCATAAATCCAACACACAGCTCCATACCAGCTACTGTGAAGGAAATTAACTCTATCCCAGCTACAACCAGCACAGTGCCATAACATAAAAATGGGATTTCCCAAGAGCCCTTTTCCCCTAGTTTTTTTCTTCAAGAGTTAAAACTGCAATGTGGAGAGGTTAAGGATATTGCAATATCTCTACAGTTGACTGCTGTGTGACTATTGTTTAAAAAATATTTATACTTTAAGTAGCTTTATAGATTAGCCAAAATAATCTAAATTTGCGAATAGCTGCTAACTAAAACAACTTCCCTGAACTGTTACTTGTGGAATATCGGTAGTAACACCCCTTGGTTTTAGAAGAAACAAACTTCTAACTGCCATCAAAGTGGTTCTGCTCACTCTGGAGGAAGGTGTGATGTTTGTACATTCCTTCAGTTTATTTTATTGGATTTTTGTGTTTTGTTTTTTTTTTCTTTCCAGGTCACTCCAAGATCCGAGACCCCCATCAACAGTGTCAGTACTAGTTTAGAAAATGTACTACATACATCAGCACATTCCAGTGAGGAGTCATTACCCAAGAGGCCTTCAGGGAAACACTCCAAAGGTGTGTCCTTTTCCACATGCGCACTTCCAATGGGGTAACAAACTCCTATCTCTTGGTGGCAATTGGTGTTATTTTAATTGTGATTGGAGACTGGAATCTTGCTTCTTCTCAACAAAGGAAGTCACAGAAGGGGTTTTGTAGTAAGGCTATCAGTGAAAAAATCGTTAGCAAGAGACAAATATGCTTATTTTTCTGTTGGGGAAATAAACAAGAACTTTCCTTATGAGCTGAAATAGCAGCTTAGCTCTCATGAAATATTTTCAGAGTGAAAATCTGACACTACACCTCTCATTCTTATAGTAGCAGGTTATTTCTTGGATGAAGCATATGGTGGTGAGTGTTGCTTTACTGGGGAGAAGGTGTTTAAAACAGCAGTTAGGCTTCTACTTCCACCTGTCTCTTGGCTCCCAAGAATGTGTGAGAAGCTGAGGGAAGAGGAGTGGAAGACAGGAGAGAAAACTTGCACCTTTCTCTGCATATGTGTGCACTCTGAATGTTGTTACAAAATAAGTCTTATTTTTCTAATGCTGTATTACGTCCTGACCTGGCTAAAACCTGGGCTTAGCAAATTTGAGTTAACAAGTATGCATTCCATTTCCACACTCCAGGCTATGATTACAGATATTAAAATGTTGAGGTGAAAAAGTGACTAATAGTATTTTTTTTAATGCGTACAAAAAGCACTGTTAAGTGAGGAAAGTCTTTGAACTGTGAGCTGCTATTTGTGTAGCAAAGAGATACTCTTTGTGGTATTAATAAAAACAGCTCTGTGTGGCAGAGCTAATGTATGGGTGTCGTGTTTTAAGCTCAGCCGGTAAATCAGAACTACGCAGCCTCTCTCTCACTCCCCCCCCTTCCTTCCCCGCTCCCAGAGGGATGGGGAGGAGAATCTAAAGAATGTAAGAATGGGTTGAGGTAAGAACAGTCCGCTAGCTAAGGTATAACACAAACCACTGCCGCTACCACCAATAATAATAATAATGAGAAGGGAAATAAGGGGAGATAATACAACCGCTCACCACCCACTGACTGATACCCAGCCCGACCCCAGCAGTGATCTAGCCCTTCTGGGTAACTGCCCCCAGTTCTACATTCTGGGCATGACGTGCTGTGGTATGGAATACCTCTTTGGCTAGTTTGGGTCAGGCGTCCTGTCTCTGCTTCCTCCTGTCTTCCCCTCCCTGGCAGAGCATGAGGCTCACAAAGTCCTTGGTCAAAGTAAACATGACTTAGCAACAACTAAAACCATTGGTGTTATCAGCACTGTTCCCAGGCTGAAAGTCAAAACCACAGCACTGCACCAGCTACTAAGGAAAAAAATGACTGCTACTGCTGAACCCAGGACAAGGGGAAATGCACCATCACAGCAGCATCACTAGTATATTGCCTTTAAATGTCATTAAAAATACTGCCGTGGACCATATGAATTTTTTACTTGGAGTTGGTCTTCAGAGTTCTGTTTCCTTCTCTGCCACTGGCTTGCTGCATAGTCTTGCAAATATAGTTTAATTCCACTTAAATGGCAATGAATGATTTCACAGCATATCTTCACTCAGAGAAGCTGATATGGATTGGAAAGGGTTACATGTCTCAAGAAAATGTTCTTAGCTTGCCTGGACCAGACCTCCTTTTCTGTGACATACTCAACTAGAATCCCAGAAGCTGTAAGCAGCAATATTTTTTTACAGCAGAATAGTGCTCTAAGTAGCTATTTTTCCAGCTGTAAAAACTGTCTGGGTAGAAGAAAATGCAGCACTAAGCAGAAGCATGGCTAAGATTTGTGGCTTCCATCTGATTAAAAATAGAACAGGGTTCAACACTGTTTTCAGTTGTACTCAGTGGTTGCTATTCCAATACCATATATGCCAAGATTAGTCATGGGTAGCATTTTGTGACCTTTCTGTCTAGCCCTTGTTGGGAAGGATGTGCTTTTCAGTAGGTTTTCCTCTGATCTGTTTTTCTTTTGTAGAATACCTGCTTAGTTTTCAGGGAATGTAGCTTTTATAGATTTTAGAAGAATTAGAATTTTAGAGGAATTTAGAATTTTATAGATTATTCATAGATTACCTTAGTAATAGCCATAAAAGGAGTCGTGGAACAAATACAATTTTCTTACTAACTGATACTCTCTTTTCTGGTTCACCAGCAACGGTGTTGAATTCTCCATGATATATGATCTGTCCGGTAGGGAGTTCTGCCTCTTAAGGTTGGAGTACAGCTGAAGATCCTGGAGCCTGCCTGGAGCCACCATTGCTCACTTACATATTTCTGATTCTCATAGCAAATAGACACATCTCTTAATGTAGCAGGACCCACAAACTTCATGGTCAGAAGTAGTGAGCTGCCCAAGTTCGTCATTCCTCTCTTGGCAAAGTACTGGAGCTGGAAGTGTCTCAGTTAAAAAGGCTGTAGCTAAACCAGAAGAAAAATGGGAAGCTCATGAAAGGTGCAGTATCCATGTGCTTAGCTGGCTTAGAGGCAGTTTGTATTAATCCAGTGAATGGTTTTAATCCCGATTTGCAGAAATGTTAGTAATTTAACATACTCTGTAGTTGAACAGTGAACGGGTTTATAGTAAGCTTGGACCTGAAAGCTGTCAGTGGCTGTATCTTCCCTAAACCACATTTTGAAAGTAGCTTTTAGTATAAAGTATTTCCAGTTTCTACATTGGAGAGAGATGAGAAGAATGGAGTATATTGCTGAATACTCCTTAACAAGCTGTGGTGGAGGTCTGTATGCACTTGTTTGCATTAAGTGGTTAGCTGGAAACTTTCATACATGCTTCATGTAGAGACTTGTCAAATACATAACTTCTGAATAATTTCACCATCCTATCTGCACAGAATATTGCTGCCTTGGGAAACAAATTTATACAATGAGTGTCACTGAGAAGCTTTTATCTCAGAGGCCCAGCTAACTGTGGGAACACTCTCAAGCATGGGGCTCCTGGATCCATGCTGTAATGCCCAAGTTGTTGGGAGTGGTGACCATCTGGGGGCAATCATATGGTTATTTAGGAAAATTCATCAATTCTTTTATGCTGGTCTTCAGTCTTAGTTAAAACCCCCTCTCCCTTCTGCATATAACGGTGCTAAAGCAAGGCAAACCAGATGGACATTTCTGCAAAGACACTAGGCACATCCTGTAGCTGTTGACATAAGCACTTTGGGTATCTGCACTTTATTTTATAAAGAAAAGTCCACATAAAGTTAAAAATTTTGGCCTATGCAAGTTTAGAAAAATTACAGATGGGTATTGACATAAAAGGAGGTGGACCTCTTTTGGAATCTAGTAGCTGTAACATGCAGTATGAATTGTGCTTTTAACTCATATCTTTTGGTGATTTAGGATTGTTCAAACCTGTTTTCACAGATGTGGAAGTAATTTTAATTGAAGGTAACTTCAGGAAGTGGAGACTTTCCCTGTTCTCAGGGATTGGCTATTGTTGTTGTTGTAAGCTGCAGACAGGCTTATTTACAGGTTTTAAGGTATTGACAGATCTCACAGGTCAAGGAAAACAGAGGTAAATACAGATTTTTGTGTTAACTGAAATTCCAGGTGTAATGTGTTGCTAGATCTTTGTCTCTTTCCACTATTTCTAGAATGTAGTCAGGTTTTGACTATGGTTTTAACACTCATCTGAACAAAATTATCAAATCCAAATGAAGATTGGGCATCTTTTGCATACTGTGTGAGCTGAGTTGTGCTGTCTTTGTTGTCTTGCCCTGGGCTTTTCCCCTCAATACTACAAGAGCTGAATCAGTGCAAATAAAGCTACGTGTGTCAAACTGGAATCAACGTTTCTGACATGAAGATGAGATTTCATGCTTACAAATTCTTGCCTTATAGGCACATACTTTAGCAACAATGCAGCTGTGTAGTGATGGTCCCTTCCATAGGCATGTTTATGTTTCCCAGCACAATGGCAACAAAGTCAGTAGACTTATTGGAGGGATTCTGATTCTGGTTGTCTGAAACTTAGGATTTTACCTTACATTTTATGGAGAGCCACCTCAAACCTTTTCCCAGTAGCAAGTGACCTGGGTGGTTAAAGGTCACTGGTTAAAAATAGTATATTCACTAGCAACTTCTGTTTTGTGGGCAGTCCTGTGCTGGTAGCTAAAGGAAATGAAGTTACTATGCCAAAGTCCAGAAGGAGCTATCAGACTTAGGGGAAGTCCCATTCACAGAGCTAATTTGTAACAAGCCTATGGATGTAGAGTTGTTCTGACTTTGTGTGGCAGTTCCCAAAAGAGAGTAGTTATCAAAGCCGAATGAAAAATTGAGCTTATTTTGTATTTTAAAATACAAAAGTGATAGGAATTTCCTCTCCACCAGACATGTTATTAATTACTTTATGGTTCCAAGCAGAACAATTTGGCCAATAGGTGAATAGCACTGTAGGCAAGTACTACTCTGTGCATGTGAAATATTTTAGCAATGTATTAAACATGCTCAGTGACCACAGCATACTTTCCAAAAGCACAGTGGAATAAAGTATATTAGACCAGATGTTGAAGTGCAGAACAAAAGAATCTTTATTATAAAGGCAGTGTAAGTTGCAAAATATTACTGTGCAGTCTTCATACTGTAATTTATTGTGATACTGAGTAAAGTTTTGATTTGTCGCAGCCTCTGTTTTAAATTTTCTGCAGTGGAAGTTCTGTCGTGGTATTTATAAGATGCTCATTGCTGCTATGAGGTTTTACAGGTGGCACTTACTACTGCTTTCATCCATAAAGCAATCTGGAAGATGATTTTCTCAACTGAACAAGTCTCATTTTGTGCAAAGTGACAAAACTTCCCCTATTCTTGTCTTTCCTGTATATTTATCTTGCCTTTCTGCTGTTGCAACACAAAACCTTAAAAGCCACTCTGACTTCAAATGAAGCAACTGTTGAAATATGATCCTTATATAGTGAAGCTGAATCACAATTCTTGCAACACATATCTAATGATAGGCACAAACTGCTTTCTGCGAATGGAGAGGTATAAAGCTT